CCTGCCTCTGCCTCCCGAGTGCTGGGATTAAAGGAGTGCCCCACCAACGCCCAGCTTATGTTTTCTTTTTTAAAATTGTTTTTTTTAGGGCTGGAGAGATGGCTCAGAGGTTAAGAGCACTGACTGCTCTTCCAGAGGTCCTGAGTTCAATTCCCAGCACCCACATGGTGGCTCACAACCATCTGTAGCAGGATCATGCAGACAGAGCACTCACATACGTAAAATAAATAAATAAATCTAAAAAATAAAAAAAAAAGTTATTTAAAAAAATTGTTTCTTTAGGTTGACTTATATGTATGAGTGTTTTGCCTGAATGAATGTCTATGCACCATATGTATGCCTGGTGCCTGTGGAAGCCAGAAGAGGGTGCTGAATCCCCTGGATTGGAATTACGGTTATGAGCTCCCATATAAATAATAAAGTGTTGTGTGCTGAATCTAGGTTTTTTAGAGCAACCAGTGTTCTTAACTGTGGAGCTATCTCTCTAACCTCCCTACATATGTTTTCTAATAAAGAATTAAGATTAGTTAATAATTAGAAGTTCATGTATTTGGTACATTTATCTGTTAACAATTTTGTTAAGGACTGAGGAGAAACTAAGAATGTTTGTCTTTTAGAAATAACTTGTTTGGAAGCCAGGCATAGTGGTGCATGCTTTTAATGCCAGCATTTGAGGGGCAGAGGCAGGCAGATGTCTGTGAGTTTGAGGCCAGCCTGGTCTTACATAGAGAGTTCCAGGACAGCCAGGGCTACATAGACCCTGCTCCCTACCCCCCAACAACAAAAAAGAAGAACAAAGTAACTTCTTTTTGGAGGAGGGGCTGGAGTGATGGGCCAGGGTTAAGAGCACTGATTGCTCTTGCACAGGACCCAGGTTTGATCCCCAGTGCTCACATGGTGTCTTGTGACCATCTATAACTCCAGCACCAGGGTATCTGACATTCTCTTCTGGCCTTTGGGGGCACTGCTTTCTTGTGCTACCCAGATACAATGTAGGCAAAAAACCCATATATACAAAATAATAAAATAATCAACATATAACTATTTGCATTTTAAAAAATTGCTTATTTTTTAATCTTGTTCCTTCTGCTTTAGTTTCATAAAGGTAATGCTAGTGTACAGGGTTTCTCTGTGTAGCTTTGTAGACCAGGCTGACTTCCAACTCAGAGATCCACCTGCCTCTGCCTCATGAGTGCTGGATTAAAGGCATGCGCCACCATCACCCCTGGCTGCTAGCGTAAGAATTTTATTCTGCATTTTAGCTGTTCTTTTATTGGTTAATTCACACATTCTTTTAAAAAAGATGCAGAGAAAAATATTGTACCTGACTTCAAACAAACCAAACCAAAGATAACCAGTGGATTTCAATTCATTGTGTGTAAGCTCTCTTTTCATTTTTCAGTCTGTACTTTCTCTACTCTGTAAAGCTTTTTTTTTTCTCTGAGACATTATGAAACTTTTTCTTTATTGTAGCTTATGGAAGCTAACAGTCTTTTTAATAGGTATGGCTTTGTCTAACATACTTTTCCTGCTTTCTTTCTGTCCTGAATATGGCTTAGATAATTCACCCCACATTGCTCCAAACCACTATTCTCTTTCTTGGACAGGCTCTGTGCTGGAGAATGGTGTGTCTGACTTCGAGCCCAAATCTTTGACAACGCACTCTATTCCGAATGCCCAGCAGTCTCGGAATGCTGCCAAATCTCTCTCAAGAGCCACCACAGGAGCCCAGGTTTCAAATCTGGGAATGGAGAATGCTCCACTGTCTTCTACCAATAAAAGGCTAGGTAAATCCAAGGCCCTCTTGGGAGAGGAAAAAACTGTTTGACCAAAGAGAGCAGCTTGACTGTTTCTCCTTAGCTGAAGTTCCAGAGGCCTCAGGTGATAATCTGTGCTGAAATCATTGCATGTTATAGTATAGTGTCTTGACACAGCAATAGGGACCTTTCTGTGAGTTGCAGTGTTACTGCCAGGATGACCTAGCTAACACTGACCTGTTGCCCCCTGCTCATCACTGCAGCTGTTTGTGCTGTTCTCTCCCTTTTTGTTCTCTTGGTTGAACCAACAGGTGAAAACCTCTGTCTGACAGGATGTTTTCACTGCTCTCTCCAGCTTGAACTCTTCCTAAAGTCCAGCAGAAGCTCTAACAGGAGCATGTCCTCTGAAATACTTGGTATTGATTGGTGTCGACTCTTTACTTTTAAAATAGGACTATTACAGTCATTTTGTCAGGGAGTTGTAGTGCTCAGAATATACCTGTAATCCTAGCCCTGGGGAGCCTGACCCAGGAAGACCACAGCTTCTAGGCTAGCCTGGGCTAAGGCAGTTGACCTTATCCCAACAACAACGAATAATACTTAACACCAACTAGTAATAACTTTGTGTGTGTGTTAGTGTCTTTGTGTATTTGTTTTGAGGTAGGGTCTAACCATGTAGCTCTGTCTGGCCTGGAATTCTCATTGTAGACCAGGCTGACCTCAGATTCACAGAAGTCTGCCTGCCTCTGCCTCCTGAGAGCTGGGATCAAAGGTATTCATCACCACACTCAACAACTCTTGTTTTCTCATATATTGTAATAATCATTTAAATGAATAGTCACTTATTAAACAGAGACACTAGCTCATCTGTACTTCATACATCTAAGCATGGTGATCCACTCAAGTGAACAGTGAAATAGAAATTTAGAGGACCATCATAGGTTGTAGTTATTTATTAAATTATTTCTTCCACATGAGCTACTATTCAAACTTTCACGCTCATTTATTTGTTTTCTAAACAGGGTTTCTCTGTGTAGCCCTGACTGTCCTGGAACTCACAGAGATCCACCTGCCTCTGCCTCCTGAGTGCTAGGTTAAAGACTTGCACCACAACTGCCTAGCCAGCATTCATTCATTTATTTGTGTGTGTGTGTGTGTATAAGTGCGCACTTTCTTGCCTGTGTACCATATACTCCAATAAAAACTTCTTAGAGTCAATTCTGTTTCTCCTTCATGGCATCTGGGGATCGAACTCAGGTTGTCAGGCTTTTTTCTTCTCTTTATTGTGGTTTAGAAACTGCCTTGCTTCAGTTACTTGTCTCTGCTTTTCCAGGGGAAGTATTGGCTACTGTCCATTGTTGTTAGAACCATTATTTCATCTGTGTTATGGGTTAATTGTTTAATATGAGAGGATAGACCCACGTCTTCATTTTCATTAGGCTACTTTTGGTTGTGAGCCTAGCCTTTAACGGCTGAGCCATCTCTTCAGCCCTCATTAGGCTACTTTTTAAAAAAAAAAGTGAAAATTTGAAAAATGGCTTCCTTTGTTGGGAAGGTGGTCATTTGGTTTACAGTCTTAGTCCATACAACATTTGACTATAAACATTCAGATCCAACTTTTAATTTACGTGTTCCCTTTAAAATAATGTTTTCTTTTTCCCTCCAAGGTTCTAATATTGAGAAGTCTGTGAAAGACCTTCAGCGATGCACAGTGTCTCTTGCAAGATATCGAGTTGTAGTTAAAGAAGAGATGGATGCATCCATTAAGAAAATGAAACAAGCTTTTGCTGAATTGCAAAGCTGGTAAGAGAAGTTGCATTTGATATGTCATAGCACAGTGTTCACTAGCTCTTTAATCTCCTTCTAACTACACGTGGGGAGAAACTGAAAAATCCTAAAGTGTATTTAACTCTCTGCTTCGTTCAGTTTCTTTTGGCCACAGTATGGGATTGAGTGGTAGAACTCACTGTGCTCTAGAAATGGGCTTAATGGTAATATTTTTGGTAAAGGACAAATAATTATAGAATAGGGTCCATCTGTTGAGGCAACAGTATAATAAATGCCATATAGCTAGATCGAAACCATAAAGCAGAAAACCAATTATGTTGGGTCAGCCTGTAATTATAGCAATTGGAAGGCTGGGGCAGGAGGATCACATAGTTTCTAGGACATCCTGGCTACAATTGAGATCTTATTTTAAAACAAAAAAAAAACAAACTAAAACAGGTAGAGATTTGAAATGGTAAAGATACATGAAAATGTATGTGTGTGTGTATTTAAGTGCAAGTGCTCATGTACCACAGAGCATGTATGGAGGTCAGAGGACAACTTCAGGTGTCAGTGGTCCTCTTCCTCTTTGGTGAGACTGGTCTTCCTGTGTGCCCCTGCATTCACCTGCAGCTGGTCCAAGAGCTTCCAGGAATTGTCTTGTCTCTGCCTCCCATGTGGAGAGTGGGATTGTGGTGTGTGGAGGGGAGTGTGGCGTGAGTGTATGGAGAGTGGGAGTGTGGTGTGTGGGTGTGAGTTTGTGGAGGGAGTGTGGTGTGTGTGTGTGTGTGTGTGTGTGTGTGTGTGTGTACCCATGAGTGTGTAAGTGGAGGCCAGAACAGGGCATTATATGTCATTTCTGTTGCTGAGACATTGCCTTAGGACAGGGTCTCTCACTCTCTACTAGGTGGCTGAGCTTCCCCTCAATGCTGGGGTTACATACATGTGCAGCCATGCTCAGTCTGTTGTGTGGGTGCTGGGGATTCAAACCCAGGTCCCAGTGTTAAGAGAAAGCATTCATACCTGTTGAGCCATCTCCTCAGACCCCAGAAAACACTTTAAAAAAAAAGTTTAACCTGAACCTCAGTGCTTTCTCAACTCTAATCTGCATTGTGAACTAAAAGGGGAACCATAACTACTTTTTTCCCCTCAAACGTGTTTCATCTTTGAGTCCTTGGGGAGAAATTCATGCTGGTATAATAAAGCTGTTTGAATTAGACATTAAGATGTTATGTGTTTAAACATAGCTCTTTTCTGGGTAATTGTTTTTTTGCTTGGTTTGGGGTTTTTGTTTGTTTAGTTTGGATTTTTTTTTGTTTTTTTGTTTTTTGGTTTTGGTTTTGTTTTTTTGAGACAGGGTTTCTCTGTGTAGTTAGTCTTGGCTGTCCTGTAGACCAGGCTGACCTTGAACTCAGAGATTCTTTTGCCTCTGCCTCCCTGGTGTTGGAATTAAAGGTGTGTGCCACCACCGCCCTGCTAGGAATTATATTTTTAACGGGTGCTTTTTAAAAACTGGTTTGGACCAAATTTTCAAAAAAGTCAAGAAAAGTCTGGCAAGATGGCTCAACAGGTGCTTGCCTCCAAGCCTAACAACCTGAGTCCAATCACCTGGACTCACACGGTGGAAGGAGAGAATTATCCTGAAAGCTGTTCTCTGACTCTACACATATTCCATGACATGCACCTCCCACCTCTCCTACCCAACAGACACACAGATAAATAAATACAACTTTTAAAAAGAAAATGTCAGGAAAACAGGCAGTTAGGGTGATTTAAGGATTAGGACTACACATTCTGCTTATGTAAGAACTATTTACCTTTACAGTGAGTAGTGAGAAGAGCCCTCTGCTGCCCCACGATTGTCATCTGTCTTCTTACTAGTGGTCCATGGACTGTTATGGACCTGATCATAGCCTCTTTGGTACCTGTGTACCACAGCAATAGAGGGAGCTGGGCAGAGAGGACTATGATTATGGGTCCCCTCAGTTCTCCTTGTCTCTTGGGTTGAAAAGAGAGTGAAGTAATAAAAATGAAGTAACAAGTCCAAAACATTGTCCTTATAACCAAACAGTACTGTGTGTTGGTGTGAGGGGGTGTTTTAAGAAAGAGATTTTTAAGAAAGGATTTTTTGCCGGGCAGTGGTGGAGCATGCCTTTAATCCCAGCACTCGGGAGGCAGAGGCAGGCGGAGCTATGTGAGTTCGAGACCAACCTGATTTACAAGAGCTAGTTCCATGAGGGAAAAAAAAAAGGTTTTTTTTATGTAGTCCAGGCTGGCTTCCAACCTGTGGTCCTCATACCTTTTCTAAGTGCTTTTTTAAAGCCTGTGCCACTTGCCCAGCTCCAATAAAGTACTGTTTAAGACAGCTAGTTCTCTTAATCTAACCTTGCTTTGGAGCCCCAATTTCTGCCTTTCAGTTTTGTGGCTGGGACATCGTGTCATGTTCTCTTTCTCGATGTACATCTGTGCTCAGGCCAAATTACTTACTGTCTCCTAACTTAGGTTTCCTCTTTCATGTATGAATTGGTGCCACTTTCCCCACTTGATGCCTTCTTCTGTGAAAGTCTGTAGCTAAGTGCAGCCAGTGCCCCAAACTGTCCATGTACCTTTGTTCTGACCATCGGCAAGGATGAGGTGTGCCATGTTTTTTTGTACAGATTTTTTACCATTTTACTGGCATTTTTGGATAAACAGCTAAGTATAGTTTATCACAACTTTGCTTTGATAGGTCTCTAGTCTCTTAAGATCATCCAGTTTACTGCTTACTCAGCCACAGAACCCAATTCCATTCAGCAAGCCTAAGCCAGGCAACACACTTCTGAGAGATTTGTGAGTTCCAGCTGTCTTGGAACCCAGCCAGGAGGAACCTCCTTCAATAAACGACAGGTGAAATGGTTTCCTCCCTGGGAACTGTGTGTTTAGTATTGATCAGCAGGCTAACAGCCAGGTCAGTTGAGCTGGAGAATAGAGATGCTCTGTTCTTTCCTGCTGGTCCCTTCTCAGGCTGACTGGGGCTTTAAAAGCTGCCTTCCTCCATGTACCTTGTAGTTGTTAATGATGTGATGGACAGGTAAGCTAACCTTACTTGACACCAAACAGCTTGCAATTAATGCCAGCTAGAAAGTCATGTTTGTGTTCATTATAGTATCAAAGAAAAGCAAAGGATTCTAACAGATTTGCAGCAGTAAGATTATAAAAGCTGACCCATACCAGAAGGAAAGTAAAATCAGAATTCTAGTATCTAAACTTAAAATCTATCCTTATTTAAGATGACTTAATCATTTCTAGATCCAGGTTTACTTTTCTTGTTAATCAATAGAGTTTACATTGTGAGAGTAGTTACTTGGCTTAAGTTTAAGACAATCAAGGAAGCAGGCTGTAAGTGCACCCTGGAAGGTGTGGTGTGTGGTAGAAGATCGTCATTCAATGTGTTGGCTACAAAAAGCCAACAGGAGATATGTTAGTATTCCTTTTTGAATAAAAATAAAGTTTTAGTTTTATGAAACACCAACATTAGAAAGGTCTCTTAACCATCTGTGAAAATTACTATTAGGAATGCTGTCCTTGTCTCCTTCTGTTGCTGTGACAAACACCGGACAAAATGAAGTTGGCGAACAAAGTTTATTTGCTTTATTTGCCCCGATTCATGGTACTTCTTTGAGAGACAGAAGTCAGTGCATGAACTGAAGTGGGCACCATAAAGAAACACTGATTATAGACTTGCTCACCCTGGATCACCTTCCCAGGGGCAGTACAGCCCACAGTGGGCTAGGCCTCCTCCATCAATTAGCAGTCAAGAAAATGCCTTTATGCATATCTACAGGTCAGTCTGATAGAGACAGTTCCTCAGTTGAGATTCCCTCTTCTCAGGTATCAAGTTGACAAAAACTAACTAGCACAAATATCTTATTAAATGTGGTTGGATATATTACTTTAATTATTTATCCTGAGTTTTTTCCTACTAAGTAGTTGGGTTTTTTTATTATTATAGTAAAAAAAATGGGGGGGGGCTTGAGTATTAGTTATATAGTTTGTTTAATGTGATACCACAAGATGCAAGTTCAATATTTGAATCTGTGTGTATTCTGACCTAGTAACCTTCATCTCAAACCTTCTTGATGACTTATTTCCTGTACGTAAGCTTTGGAAAACTAGACACATATGATACATACCACATATATTATTCCTTCCTCAACCCAACAGCTGTAACATATAAACCAGTGTGGAATAGGATTTAGAACTTTGTCATTGTACAATAGGGTTGAAATGAAGGATTTTAAATTTAGTAAAACAAAATTATAAGGCCAGCAAGATTGTTCAGTGAGTGAAGGCACTTGCCACCAAGGTTGACAGTTTGAATTCAATCCCTGGGTCCCACATGGTGGAAGAAGTGAACCAACTTGAAAGTTGTCCTCTGACTTCCCCATATGCCTGCTGTGGTGCAAATGCCTCATGCACTCATGCATTCATGTGCACACATGCATAATAAGCACAAAAAATAAATGTACAAGGGGAAATGTCCCATCAAAATATTAATTGTTCTTTGGTTTTTCTAAGTCAGAAGGTCTTAAATCGCTTTTAGGTTTTTTGTTTTTTGATTTTGTTTGTTTTTTGGTGGCGGGGGAGAGTGTTAAGACAGGGTCTTACTATATAGCTATGCATGACCTGGAATGTAGACCAGGTTGGACTCGAACTCATAAAGATACTTGTGCCTCTGCCTCCTAAGTACTGGAATTAAAAACATATGCCACCATGCCCAGCCGAAGTCATTGCTGTTAAGTCACAGCTTGGAGTCTCATGATTGAGGTTTTCTTTAGGTCATATCTCAGGAATGGAAGCAGTATTAAGATTAAGGGTCTGAGGTTGGTAGCATGTACCTGTAATTCCAGCATTCAGAGGCTGAGATAGGAGGATCATTTGAGTTCAGGAGTTCAAGACCAACCTGGGCAACATAGCAAGACCCCCATCTCAAACTAAATTAGAAACAGCAAGGTGGGGTGGGGCTAATTAATAAATGTTTTTTGGAAGGAATGAAT